GGTCAGGTCACCCCGTCCCATTTTTGGTCCGTTAGGGTAATGAGCTAGACTAGGCGAATCAAAACAGGTTAATGGATTAAAACTACCAACCCATCCTACTATTTTTAATACTGAGCTTGCGGACCGATCTGCCAAGCTTATTTTGTTTTATCATCCCTACCTAAAAATTTAGAATTATGAAAAATGAATAAGATTACTTAAAAAGAATTAAGAAAAATGAATAACATCACATAATTTTTTTTAACTCAAGACAATTAAAATTTGATGCTATTAGCTCAATTTACGATCATAAAGTTTATCTAGTAGAACAATCCAAGTGTTTTTCTCTCTTGAACAACTACTCTCAAGGTTTTATAAATGTTTCACACTTTTTTAACCTTAATTCTTTAGTGAGATAGCAAATAGTTATAATGGACTTAAGGAATAAAGTTTTGTGCCAATTCTACATTCTTTAATCCATTAAAATCACATTAAAGTATGTGTTTTAAGTAATTTTAATTTATTAAAATATTTAATTTAATAAACAAAAATAGTGAAACTTCTGGATGTTTAAGTAAAATTAATTGGTTAATATGTTATTTGTTGTACACCCAATAATCTAAATAACATTTTACCACATTAAAATATACTTAATATTTTAACATATTAAAATAATTTTTAATCATTTAAAACAATATTATAAATTTCAAAAAGTTAAAATATTTTTCAATGAATTTTTTATTTAACCTATTCAAGATCAAGAATAAAAAAATCACTTACAACACATTTGGCACTAAAATTACAACTCAAAATCAACGCCAAACAAAATATCATCATTCAAATCATCGTCAAATTTTCATTAGGAGTATCTAGTCTTCAAGCTCTAACTTATTTCTAATTTTCATACAAATGTATAAACATGTTGAAAGAAAAAAAAAACACTCATACATTTGATTCATTAACTTTTTTTCTTTTTTCATAAACCTTGTAGTTTTAAAGATACATTACTTTTTTTCTCATGGTGCTAGAATGAGTAAGTTTATTTTATTTTGACTTGTCCTGTATTTGACCATACAAAATTGGACAATGTGTGTTTACTCATCTTAGCTAAAAAGGTTAAATATGTAGTTTATCTGGTTAAAGAGTAGGTTTACTGACTAATAGATCAACCTATCAGTTATATATATATATATATAATACGTTTTTAATTATATAAATTATTATTTTATTAATTAATATTTTTTATTAAATAAATTAAAAAAAATCATATATTTGCATATTAAAGTATTTAATTATAATTAATAATTTAATTTTAATTAGTTAGTAGGTTTGATTTATATATAAAGATAGCAAAATGGGTCACTTGTCCCATTTTGACTCGCCTAACCACCCACCAAAAAGGGACGAGACAGGTTGACCTACTATAATTAGGGATGGGACCTACTATAATTAGGGACGGGTTATAGACCCAGCCTGTGCCCCCAAAGGGGAGATTGATGGATTACTTCGATAATAAAATTTTTTATATAATTTTCTTATATATATATATATATATATATATATATATATTTTAAAATATACATTTAATTATATGAATAATTATTAAGTTTTATTTACTAATTAGTATTTTTATTAGATAAATTAAATTTTTTTATAATTATATGTTAAAATAACTAATTATAATTAATAATTTAAATTTAATTGATTAGTTTTTATAATTTAAATTATAATATTATAATATATTTACATATTTCAATAACATAACATAAAAAATATAATATTTTAATTATAATCTATTTTATTTTTATTTTAATATATAAATATTTTTTAAAACGAGTTAATGGATCTGTCTTTAGTTTGTTAAGTTGACGTATTAGATAGATAGAGTCAAAGTGGACGGATAGACTAAAATTACTAATCCACTTTATCATTTTTTTAGACGGATTATTTACTCTTTTGCTATCTATATATTTAAATTATAATATTATAATATATATTTGCATATTCTAAGAACATAACATAAAAAAATTAAAATATTTAAAATTATAATAATTTTTATTTTAATTTTAAATATAAATATTTTCTTAGAAACGAGTTCAATTATTCTGCCCGTCCTCAATCCACATTGTTGACAGATTAGGTGAGAATGAGAGAAAAAATCTGATTAAAACTATTAATCCGAGCAAACTAGGCACAGGTTTATCAAATCTATTATATTTTGTCATACCTCATTTTTCCTCAAGAATTTTCAAGACCAACTCATGTAACTTAGTTTCCAAACTCAAATTATTTATGGAAATGCTCTTGTAAACTAAAATCATGGTAAAAAGTGTAACAATTAAAAGATAAATTATGAATGAAAATAAATTTAGATGAATGTGAAATACATGCAACCTAGAGTTAATATTTTGTTCCTTTTTCAAAAGGCAAAAAGAGGTACAATATTGTTGTTTATGAATGAGTTTCACTTTCACAAGAAGAGAAGTATCCTACAATTTCGGTGGTGAGTTAATGATTTGCCAATCATATAAATTTTCATTCTAAATATTTATGATGGTTAGGTCATTTTGATGCCTTCGAGTAAATGGTTCCATAAATATGGCTCCACATTACTTCTTTCACGTTTTCTTGTTCATTCATTTTCATATGCTTCCAACTTATACACTTTATATTCTATCCATCGATTCCTTTGTTTTCCTCCTCCAAATTTATTGAATAATAATAATAATAAAAAAAACAGAAAACTTATCTACTCTTCATAGATTTTTGTAGGTGATACTTTTCAATCATATTTAGAGTTTTACTTTGACAACATCCAATATTTTTTTATAATATAAGATGCAAATTATGAAAATAAAAAGAATATTATCGGATAACAATATTTATATATCATATAAGTATTTTCTTAGAAAAATATTGTTTGCAAGATTCTACTTATAATCCAAATTGTTTTTAACATATATAAATGGTAAATACACGATATTTAAATTTTATTATCAATATATTATTATTATGTTATTGTATTTTTAATAGATGACTTTCATCACTTATAAATAAAAAAAGTATATATGATAATAATATAGTAAAGGTTAAATAAAGTTAGAGTATTCTAAAAAATATTATTAAATGAAGTAAAAGTATATCACTCTATGTTTTTTTTTTCTTGTTAATGACAAGTATTTCATAGATATATCTTCAATTTGAGTAATTAAAATTGAAATTATCTTAAATATTTTCCTTATGTTAATTTTATAATAAATGAGATTAAGAAGACTTTAATAATATATTAGATTTTAATTTAGAATCAAGTGAAAGAGGACAACAAATATATATATATATATATATATATATATATATATTTATTTATTTATTTATTTATTGTTAGGTATAACTTAAATATTGAATGAATCCTTTACTTATAGTTAATTTAGTTAAAATTTGATTTCAGAGTTTTCCTATTTTAGATTTTTAAGAAGTTTTCGATATCAATTTCGAAAAATTATTTTTTTAAAAATAAGTTAAAAAAGAGAGAGTAAAACATGTTCGAATGCATTACTTATTAAAATGATTTAAAATAAAATAGAGTAACATGAAAAATTGTGACAAAAGTTGAAAAAAATAAGTTGGGTAACTTTACGGTGATAGAAATGAGTGATAAGTATATCTGATTATGCAAAAACATGAGATACGGACATCTACTATTTTTCAAACTCATCATCTTCATTCTTTTAATTAAAATTACTCATTCAATTCCTGATTGTTATATCACATTCACAATATAACTAATTTATCAGTTTTTTTATTAATTAATAATACGACTTTCATTTTCTACAAGACCTTTTTCCCGTTAACTTATATAATATACCATTTTATATTTCTCATATTTTATAAATTTTAAAAATTTATTATCAGTTAATAAGAAATAATGTTTCACACACCTTTTAAATAATTATTATAAAATCAATATACACAATTTTCTCATTATTATTATTATTATTATTATATTGATAGTATTAAAAAATCCTCATGAAATTGAACATATATATATAGTTTTTAGTATTATTTCTAATTAAAATTGAAATTTTATGTAATAAACTTATGAACAAGATAAAGTGCTTAAAAACTATTTTTTTTCCTTTTCAAAATACACAATCAATAATGAAAGTATAAGCTAGTAGCAAAAAGTCAAAGAGTCCATTCAATTAGTTGGTTTTAATTACCATATTTATTCTACCAACAATCATAAGCACGAATAGACGTTATAGTAGTTATTGTCTTCTTTCTTTCTTTTCTTTTTTCTCTCCAACTTTCTTTCATTTCTGAAATGAAGAAAAAAAAATATATATATATATATATATATATATATATAAATTTATTATAACTAAAATTAATTTATATACAAGTAAAAACTAAAAATTGAAGAAATATAAGAGAAATTTTATAGAAAAAATTAATATTAATTTTTTATCATGTTTCTTTCCTAGAAAAAAACTTGTAGAGAAATTCATCTGAGCACTTATTATAAGAAGTTATGAAATATATTTGTGGTATATTTACTGAAAATATAGAAGCAATTATACGTGAAGAAGCAGGTATATATCGTACGTAGAACTTTTGGAAGAATGTAGCCAAATACTTTGAGGGTTGTGTTCCTCATAAAATTAATTATATTCAAATTAGGTTACTAGATGTTATCATAGAATCATAGAATCGTGGATTTTCTTTATCATTTTCCCTTAAGATGGAGACATGCATGCAATTTGACCATCGTGTGTTCTACCTTTTTCAGAAAATAAAAGTAGAAGATGTAGAAAGAGGAGAGTGTGGAGAAGTAGAATATAACACTAAACAAGAGTTAATAATATTCAATTGAGGAATTATTTCCAATTGACACATAAATGCTTCAAGCAAACAACAACGAAGTACGTGAACATGTATATGAAAGTTACATATTACTTGTTATTAATGCCAAAATAAGAATAGCTATCATGTTTTCTTTAATATGGAGTGTGCAAAAGTTTTCAAGGAAATCCACCTCCACCTCCAGCACCAGCTCCCCCACCAAATCCTCCACCGGCGCCACCACCGAGTCCACCACCAGCACCGCCACCGCCTCCAAACCCTCCTCCACCACCTCCTCCAAGGCCTCCACCAGAACCTAGACCAGCACCACCTCCAAAGCCGGATCCTCCTCCAAACCCGGCTCCTCCACCAGCTCCACCGCCGCCACCAAATCCTCCACCGCCACCTCCGCCAAATCCTCCTCCGGCTCCACCACCAGCACCGGCACCACCACCAGCACCAAAACCTCCTCCTGAGCCACCACCTAATCCTCCTCCTCCCCCACCACCAAAACCACCTCCACCTCCTCCTCCTACACCTCCTCCAAACCCTGGATGATGAAAGAAGTTCTTCTCATCCCTAAAACTACCCTTCTCACTCCCAAGCTTCCTTGCATCAATGGTGCAAACAAGGGCACCAAGAAGCGCAAGAAGAAGAACCCTAGAAGCCATCCTGTGCTAGAATACCAAGTATAATAAAAACAAGATGGCTATTGGTGAGGAACAAGAGAAGGGATGTAGGGTTTATATAGCAATCCCCAAAGAAAAAGGCTTGGTTGAAACAATTATTGCTATTATTTTGCTGAAAACAATACCTGTTATATAGTTAGGAGTGATGAAATTAATCTAGAAAAAGTGTTTTGAATATAGAAATAAAATATTATAGATGTGTATACGAACATGCTTTAAATTGGATCATCTTCTTAACCATGCAAACGCGTTGTTGTGCATAAATGCTTCCAACTGCCACTATTTGAAAAAAGAGAAAGACCTCAACCACTCATATATCTCAAGGACCCACTCTTCATTTATCTCCATTGTCAGAGAAACTCCTCTTTTCATCTGTTTCTGCATGGGCTTCTCTAACAACATGCACCTTTTCAGATTCCATATTCTTTATATTCAATTCAACTCTCTGACCTCACATTCTATACAAATATATGTGTAAATAATATACATTTTCATGGGTTTCTAGTGACTTGGTGTGAATTGGTACTTATAAGTCAAGTCTGCGTTTTTTGTGATCTACATAATTGTAGGACAAATTTTTAGGGTCTCAAAGTCTCAACTACAAAAATATTGTTGGGATTTATGAGGTCATGGATTACTCAAAATGAGGATTCTCTTTTTTACCCCAATTGAGGGTGGCTTTTAATTTTGCAGAAACCTTACTTAGTTCGAGAAGAAGAAAAAATATTAAAGATGACATTTTTGGGGGACATTTGGAATGTCTCTTTAGATTTTCAATTTGACTTTTTCTTGTTTAGCTCATTCAGTTGTGGAAAATAATTATTGAACTTTTATTGTTTGTCACTTACATATACAGAGAAAAAAATAAGGAGAAGAAACTTACATAAAGAAAGTGCTGGAGTTTTAGTTTCTGAAATCAATGGAGGAATATATAAAAAGGAAATGACATTAGTATTCACGTTCAATATTTTTTTATAAAATGTATTTTTATTTTATAATTTAATCATTGAATTATAAATACATATTTTCTTGCTTGTGTATGTCAAATTTTAGAAAAAATAATCATAATAAAATAATAAAATGGTTCATATATATATATATATATATATATATATATATATATATATATATATTAAGAATCTTATATAACGTTAATTTTGATGAATATAAATGAAGATATAAAATAAATTGATATTGATATAAACTTTTGTAGACATAAAGTTAAACAAAATTTCAATTCAAGAGTGAACTTGACAATAAATTATTGAAGGTCATAATTGGTGTAGCTTGATATCATTTCATATTTTTCCCCTCTTGCTCTGTACGTATAAATATATAGTTAATAATTAATTCTAAATTACAAATTCCATTAAGGATTGTCCAGACGGTGGTCAAGTAAATAAAATTGGACACATTTTTCCTCTATCCTATATTTATTTCAAAATATAATAACCTCTTTCTTAATTCTATGAAAAAACTATAAGAAAAGTTAATATCATTTATAGTTTAAATCCGTAGGTATAATAAAAAATTTGTAGGTATGAAAATATTTTTTACGGAGTTTTGATGGATAAAAATTCGTAGGTAACATTTAACTACAGATTTTTAATTTGATAGGTAATTTCATACCGCATTATTCGTATAAAATATGAGAAATTAAGTACCATATGGTAATTATGTTTTAAGTATTTTTGATAGATATTACGTAGGTATATATTCGTATGTAATTATATATATATATATATATATATATATATATATATATATATGATATATATTTCTTTTTTAATTAATTTATTTAAGTATTTATTGATGTATCTATAAGTATTGGCATACGTTCAAATACAAGTTTTTCCTTTTTTTTTCTTTTTTCTTTTTACAAAATTTTAACTAGATTTTAATATTTATATATTCAATATATAATGCATTATCTAAATACTCATTCATATATAATCTAAACATTTATATATATATATATATATATATATATATATATATATATAACTTGATATTCATATAGTACATAAAATATAATATATATATATATATATATATATATATATATATATATATATATATATATATTATCAAATGTAACATTGAACACAAGTTATGAACACATGATATCAATAACAAGTTTTTAACACTAGACCATAATTTTAAAAAACTATTTAATGAACCAAGACCATAATAAAAGTTATCTATATAAACAATAAAGTTAAATCTTAAACAAAGTCTATAATAAAAGTTCTAAGATATCTAATAGTTTTATCTTCATCCTTTAGGCAAATTATTTTGTTCTGGATCATTCTCACCCTACTGTTTGCCTTAAACTTGTTCATTGGCTTGTACTTATTCATTGTCATGGTCATGTTGTCGAAAAATATTTTGTGCAACAGTTGCGACTGGTACGGGTAGGTAGTGTAAGATTGCACCAAGAAATGTTTGGATGAAGAACTCAATTTATATTTTATATAAAAATTTATATGGGAGTAAAGCTTAAAACTATAATTTTTCATAAATTACTTATTTCTAGTGTTATCATTCTCTACAACTTTGTAGGGTCATTTTTATTCCACTTTATGCTACTAAGGAGCAAATCACAAAGTCAAGATTCATGGCTGGTCATAACTCTCAGCAATTTCCAAATAAAAACTATTTTAAAACTAGAGTAAAATAATTGAAGAATCAAACATGTGTTAGTGATTTTGGAACCAAAAATCATAAATTTATGTAAAGAATAATTGTGATTTTCTAATAGGTTTTCCTTACATTGAACAAATGTGTACTTGTAAAATAATTAAGTAATATCTCTTGGATTGTCTAAAAGGGGGGAAAACTAATAAAATATGAACTAAACATTCTCATAAAATATACGTACGTGTATCTAAGAAACTAAAAAGCTTTTAGTTCATTTTATGGATGAGGCATTATTGTGAACTTATCATAACCTACCAATGTGACTATTATTACTGGTTACCTTACATTTCAAAATTTTCTAAGAACCATTAAATGAAGATAGTTGATTCCTATTTTATGATTTCAATAGAGATATGTTAATATAATAAGTAAAATGTACATATTATAACATTTGGTATATAGAAAGCAGTACAATCTTGTGTTAGTGATTTTGAAACAAAAATACCCATCAGATTTAAAAATTTATCCAAAGGATAATTATGATTTCTCACTACATTTTCTTATATTGGACAAATTTGCACGTGTAGAATAATTAGATAATTAATTTGTGTAAAAGGGAGGAGAAACTAATAAAATATGGACTAAGCATTTTTAGAACTAAACTATATAAAGCATAATATAAACTAATAATTTACTTCCTCTACTACATTAAATTGATAAGTATTTAGCAAAAGAATAAGTTGAAAACACAAGCCTAATAATAATTTTATAATAAATATGTTTGATAAAAAGTGAAACAAGTATGAAAAACTCAAGAAATTGATCATTGAAATGAAAAAGAAAAAATAAATTATGTCATACATAATCATCCTATTTTTTTTTATTCTTTATCATTCATAACATATCAATATATTTATTACAATTGATCACCTTATACCTCAAAACTTTCTAAGAACCATTAAGTTAAGATAATTGACCTCTTTTTATATGATTTTAACATAGATAAACTAAGATAATAAGCAAAATGTAAGTGCAATAAAGTATTACAACACAACGTCAATGCAAAGTAAGATATTAAAAGCTAGAAAATAATAAAATTATCAAAATTTAAATGATGAAAGTTGTAACTTATACAACTAAATAACTAATTTTTTTTTCAATAAATTAAGCCATATATAGTTAGTGAATTCAGTCATTATATAATAAGCAAAATCAATCATTTACATAGTTAAGGAATGTAATTCTCTTATTGTTGCTACTGCACTTTGTTTTCTTTGAAATTAAATGTTAAAGCAATGTGTTGAAAAGGAATGAATAGAAAAAAACATGTTTAAATAAAAAAAATTATGTTTAAGTTGAAGTGCAAATCATCATAAAATATTCAATCCACACAATCAAATAACAAGTCAAAAATAGAAACCTACATTCTTGAAATTATTTTCTATTACTAGTGTCATCATTCTTTATAACTCTGTAGGTCATTTTTATTCTACTTTATGCTATTGAAGAATAAACCAAGAGAGGTGAGAAAGTCATATTTCATGATTAGTCATAACTCTCATCCAAAATCAAAATTATGTTAAAACTAGAATGAAAATCCAATTTCAATGTCAAACATGTGTTAGTGATTTTGGAACAAAATACCCATTATGGTCAGAAATTTATACAAAGGATAAGTGATTTTTAAATAGGTTTCCCTACATTAAACAAATGTTCACCTGTAAAACAATTAAGCAATATTTCTGAATTTATTCAAAATGGTGGGAATACTAGTAAAACATGGACTAGGCATTATCGGACGAAAATATATATTTATCCTAGAAACTAAAACAATTTTAGTTCATTCTATGGAGTAGGTATTAGTTAGAAAGTGTCATTTTCACTAGAGAATAAACCCAATAGATCTATAAAATAAATTCAAAGTTGAATATCTTAAGCTAGAAATAACAAATACTACTATTGTTATTAGCTAGGAGTGGAGAAAATCGTAACACAAACTTTTTGAAAAAAAAAAAAATCATTTATACGTACATAAAGAAATGTGTACAAGCATATTATTACACAAATGGTAAATGAAAAAGAGCAGAGTAAAGAAAAAATGGAACATATTCAGTAGAATTAAAGAATGTCTTCCACAATATTTGTTACTGTAATGTTCCTTTATAACATGATAGCATTGCCGTGGAAAGATGATATAACCTTAAATTAGCCTAATGCGACACAAACGAACCCCAAATTTCGAGTGACTCTTGATTATTGGAAGAATAAATTTTGGAAAATTTAGGATTTGGTTTTAGATTTGGGAATGAAGGAGGGGACATACAAAGATTGATTTGAGGATGAAGGAGGGGACGCTCAAAGATTGATTTGAGAATAAAGAAGGGGATGTAAAGAGATGGATTTGAGAGAAGGAGGAGAGGTTAATTAGCACACCAATCTGAAAGGAAGAATGTTATGATTATGCATGAGAAGAAGATAAGAGGTATCAGAAAGTTAGAGCACAAATGTTTTATTTTAATTTTTTAACAAAATAGTTTACTACATCTGTAGATGATATCATTACAAAAAAAATGCTTATTATCTACGGGTATAATCCGTAGGTAATGACAAAAATCCGTAGGTAATGCACTCGTTGGAATTACCTATGGATTATAATCCGTAGGTAATTCACTCACCTTACAAAATATTTTTATTTATTACAAATACCCTCCTTTATTTTTTATTAAAACCTAGAACCCTCTCCC